TGTTTCCCAATAGGGAAATTGCTAAGAAATACTCAAGTGCAAGGATCAGAACAGGTGCAATTGTTAAAAAAATGGATTTGAAAAATAATTCTTCAGTTATTCAGCATTAAAACAGCTCCGTTCTGCATCTCTGTGGATGAAAGCAATGATACCGATTCAAAACTATATCCAATTGTTGTTTCTTTTTTTAATCCAGAGTCTTCAGAAATTGCGTGCAGTGTACTTTCTGTCTCCACTTTAGAAGGACATTTGACAGGCTTTAATATAGCACATCTAATTATTAAAACATTAAAAGAAAATGCAGTCCTTCTGGATAATTGCTTAGCACTTGGTGCCGATAATGCACCAGTAGGCTTGAAGACTGGTGCTGCAGGCATCTTAAGAAAGGAAAATTCATATTTGCAGATTATGAGGTGCACCTGTCACCTCTTAAATTTAGCAGCTGAAAAAGAGGCAGCTTCTTTACCAATAAATGTGGATGAACACATTGTTGATATTTATTATTATCTTGAAAGGAGTTCTTAAAGGAAGGAAAAATTGAAACAGTTCCAACAGCTGCATAACAGCAGTTTACAATTAGAAAACTTGGATGAAGTTATAAAATCAGCTAGGATTGACACCCAGTGGAGTTTAATTGGAAAACTGAAAGATGCTGATGGAATTTTAAAATATAGTGAACTGTCTGGAATTACGTTGGCCATCTTGACTGTTCCCCATCGCAATGCAGATTGTGAGAGGATTTTCAGTGTTGTTGCGAAAACGAGGACTAAATTTAGATCTAATATTAGTGATGACACATTAGAAAACTTTTATTAGTGAAAGCAGGCCTACGTGGCAATCGCTATGAACAAAATTATGAAGTTTCTTTCTTAAAGAAAGAAAAATCTGCCACTGTTTATAGCATTTGTACGAAAACTGATTAAAGATTTTTTTTTTGTTTTTTTAAACAATGCAGGTAATAAAAATGTTTTTTTTTTTTTTATGTGTAAGGTATTTTTGTTTTGCTTGCATTTAAGAATTAGTTACTATTTAAAGTTAATTCATTATTAAAAACTATATTTTCATCATTTAAAAAGTCTTTTTAAACTTTGTGAAAAATCTCCTGATTTTTGAGTGTCGTAGGTTGGCAAGTATGAAATAGATTGCGCAAAAGGGCAATAAAAATTTAATAGCTTTATTTGAAATGCCTTTAAATTCTTTTTCCTGTGGTTCAGCCAAAAGTTAACAAGTGCATTATTTTTGAAATCTTCAGTTAGAGTCCGGTCACAAAAAATCTCCATCAATTGCTCGTTTTTTTCCCCCCCCACAAGATAAGCTTTCAAGTACATTTGAACAACATGGGTATCTGATCCAATTTTCTTTTTTGTAATCCTCGGAAAAATACATGTTGAAATTATTTATCAGTGAAAAACAATGATTTTTAATGCTAGATGCTAATTCTTTTATTTTCAAATTATTTTTGTTTAGAAAACTTTCTAAAAGCGGTAAAAAGTGTAAAGTTTAATTATTAACTCGATTTTTTTTTGTCATAGCATTTATTTTATCGTTAATGGTAAACAAATTAACACTTTGCCCTTATAATTCTAAATTAATTCATTTTCTTTCCAAAATATCTGCTAAATGTGTTAAATAATTCACTAAATAAACATTTTTGCAATTCACATTTTGGAATCACAGAGGAAGATTTGAATTTCTGATCGAAGTTCGAAAAGACAAAAACTTTGCCTCTGGATAACCACCTTACTTCGGTATACAATGAAAGCATTTCATGTTCACTGCTCAACCCTTGGCATTAACCCTCTGGCTGATCATCCTGCGATTTCCACGGGCAACTCAAATGTAGCAAAATTTTCTCATCCCGCGATTTCTGCGGGCATATGTTTTTTTTCCTTTATTGAGGAACGGATCCCGTTCTTTCCCCGTTTAACCATTGAAGTAAATTATATACAGTATTAGGCGTTTAGTTTACATTTTGGCCAAAAGGTGTCGTTAGTTGTCTACTAAATTGCAGCATTTGAAGGCACGCAATGAATTGGAAGTTGATCTGTCAGCACTATCCATATCTTCAGGGCAGATGTTTTTATTTTATTTGGCTTATAATTCCTTACTAAATGTAGTATTTCATCTCGATATACTCCGTCTTTGATATGATTTAAATCAAATTCCTCGTCATTATAATTCGCTTCTGATAGTGAAGAAAGTGACACAGAGGTTATTAAAAACGAAAAAGTTTCGATTTACAAATTAGTCGGTATTCTCGACATAGCAATTATAGGACTTGAACAGCAGAACTTCGTAACTGAACAAGAAATTATGTCTGTTTATAGAATTAAAGAGAAAGTATTATCACATAAAATGAAGCAACTTAAACAACTTACATCGAAAAAAATGTTTAATAAAATAAACAAATAAATATTAAGCTGCTTTTTTTTTTTTTTTTTTTTTTTTGTAAATTTGGATACCCTTTAGATCATAATTGTTCTTTATTTCATAAATTATGGTTTCATATTTTTAATTTTATAATTTCTGCATGCCATCTTACCAGATTTAAACTGATCTATAATCTGGAAAAATCGATAATCCGGAATCGCCGAAGTCCTGACGAGTCCGGATTAACGACTTTTGACTGTATTTTCTATAAATAATTTTTCTTTTCTTTTCAATATTCTTAATGCTAGTAGATTGTCTCGGATCCATCACCTGTGAAATATCGCTTTCCCACTTCGTCAATCCTAGCCATTTTCCCATTTGAAAATGTAGGTTTGTTTTATTATTTTTTCACAAATATTTAAATACATAATATTAAGGAAATGCACGAGTTCCTCAAAAACAGAGGACGATGTTCTCAAATCGTGTAGAAAAGTAAGGAAAACGAAGCACCAGGAAGACGAAATGCCTGCTGTTAGAGACAGCAAATCAATGGGGAAAAAATTATTCTAATAGAAAATAGAGTAATATAAGCTCGGAAATGGTGGCAACATAAAGTGTAGACTTGCTAATAAATTGATCAACTCTAAAAGAATTAATGAGATAGTACTATCTTTTTATAGGAACTTATTTTTATTTCCTATTTAAAGCAACATCTATTTCTATTGCCCCTTTTAAAAACATCATTTATGACAAATTTTGTTGTCTGTAGCTATAAAAGAATATTTGTGAAAATCAAAACGGATTATTTTGCTATAGTCTGTGAGCGGCCATTGTCCTTGAACGAAGCTCAAATCGTATAAATTTACGAGTGCTAGAGAAAAAACTTAAGTTAAACATTATGTTGGAGTATTTAATTTTTGAACTTAAATTGGTAAAAATACTTACTTTCTTTGTGTACCATCTACTTTCTTCTTGCGTACCACCAGTTGAGAATCATTGCTGTACAGTGCTCTAGACTGCTGCTCTAAAATCGCTCGCTGCTCTATCTCTGCACGTATCTATACGAGACAAAAGAAAAAATCTGATGTGTACATCACAACTTCCTTGCATGAAATATTAAATTATATGCATTTTTTCCTGCATGTCATTTAAACTTATTGAATTGAATTAAATCTAAATCTACGATAGTGCATAAACCAAAGTAGAATAAATGCGCTTTTTAGAATTCACTATATTTATTTACAATAACAATCCTCTGGTGCTAGGTTCACATAACAGTGTTACATCTCATTCATTTAAAACTCAGAATGCAAAAAATTTATATCATATGAAAAATTATCTAATCCTTGCCACATGTTCTCTTCAAATACTAAAATAAATTTTAAGTGATGTATAAAAGAAATTAAACAAATATGAAGTAAACAGTTTTTCACAGACAATTCAGCGCTACTTACCTTGTGCGCATGTGCTTCTCGTAAATATTCTCCTCTGTCTGAAACTGACTGGTGATAGTATTTTCTGCTAATAACTAATATTTCTACTTATTTCCTCAAATTTCATAGAGATGTATTACTCATTCAATTAATTCAGTTCTCATTTTGTGATAAGGCAAAAGTACATAAAAACTCAAAATACGTATATTAAAAATTTAAAGATATAGAAAAACATAAAACACCAAATACAGTTAAAACAATTTTAAAAAATGCTTTAAAATTAAAATTGCAGTTTCTACACAAAAGCAATTCAGCCAGCAGGCCAGAAGACCGATTTTTTGGTGCATAAAACTGAAAGTTTAGACCAAAAAGGCACTGAAGGCGTAGAAACTGATTTAATTTGTCGTGGACGCTATGCTGAGTTAATATTTGGGATAATTTAATAACTTAAATGACAATTCCAGAATAGATTAAGCGTAATTTAATTTGAAATAATAAAAGAAGACGTTACTTTGTTGTTGCAAAGCTTAGTTTCTCTAAGATTGGCAACAAAACCACTATTTCTGCTAAGTTTCAAATGTAAAAAAGTATGGCTGCTACGGTAAAAAATTTAGGCTTAGCTGCACGTAAAAATACTTTTAAATTGTTGATAATTTTACAACTATAATGTGCAGGTTGCACCTGCTCTGGCCCTGTGTTAGCATTTTTCTGTCTCACCTAAACAATAAGTAAAGTTCCAATGTTACCATTTATGTCATTTTACTAGATTTAAACTGATGATCTGAAATTTGGAAATTTCCGAAATCTAGAATTGCTAAAGTCCTGACAGTTCTTGAGTTCTCTCGTACTTTACACTGTATTAATAATAAGCATTAGTACTGTTGTCTATAGAAAAAAAGTAGTAACTTTCCCATTCTTAATCCAGCATCAATAGTTATAATCTTTGCTTTTCTCCTGTTTTCTTTTTCCTTCATAAACTTGTGTACTGTTTCTGTGTTATTTCAATTGTAGTATAAATACTTGAAACATTTTCTTGAAATTATTTGAAAGCGAGTGCTGTGGTCTCATAGCTTATATTGCATGTGTGTATGAATTATTTTTAAATAAATGTAATTATTGGTATGCACACTTTTGTGTGTTTTTGAAAGAAAAAAAGTATTAGGCATTTTTATTAGTTATTTATTGCTTCTTTTATAGCCACCTCCTGCTCAACCACATATGCATGGACCTGGGCAACAGATGCCATCAAATATAGACCCATCTTCATTTCAGAATCATCAAAATCAACCAGGAAGTGGAAATCAAAGTAATGTGGGATTTATGTATGACTTATGTGATTTATGATAATATTTATGTGTAATTAATTAACCACAGAGCATAAGTATTTTATTTCTTTATACATTTTCCAATGCATTTCTTTCATTACAGTGCTTTCATGAGTACAATTGTATATGATTTAAAATGTAAAATTATGAAACAACTAATGAAACGGCGATATTTTTGGGCTTATCAAAAATCAGAGTTTAAGTAGATAAAAGCTGAGAAACTGATTGTATTAAGTTTGTTTTTAATAAATAACTTAATTGCCTGCTATGAATATTATTAAAATGATTGACTAAATTTTAAATAATTATGAAAGTATTTAAGAAATATACTTATTACGAAATGTAAGGTTGTTGCTTTGCCTAACTTTTGTTTTCTTAATATAGTTTGTTAACCACCTTTGTAGTTGGTTTTCTTTTAATAATCAAGTTTCTGTGCTTTGGGGGCCATAGAAATATTATTGGTAAATTCCCTGAAATTGTAGGAAGTTAATTATATTTCTCAACTTGCATATCCTGATTTTCAGATCAAGGTATGACTTCTAGTCAAGGAGTGACTGGTAATCAGTCACATGGTTCTGGAGTGCCACCAAGTTTTAATGCAGGACAACAACCTCCTGTTGGACAGCCCCGTGAGTATATTATATTATTAGATTTGTCGCTTAAATAGAATATGATGTATAGATTCCTGCAAACTGTCATATGTCTTGCATTATTTACCCCATATCTATGTTCTTTTATATATAGTAACTGTTCTGAACAGGAAAGTTGGAATTGGAGATACATTAAACATAGCGTGGCTATATTAAAGGAACTTGTTTTTGTTACTCTCCAATTGCGTGTCTGAATCTCTAGATGTAACTGTAGCAAAAATTTTGCGGGACGCGCTAAAATCACTTCACGCTATGTCTCGGTTGCATTTGTTCTCCGATGAAAATGTCTTTAGTGCTAAGTTATTCAACAGTTATGTAGTAATTGTTGTAAAGATTTATTTGTTATTTAAAATAACCATCTCTATTTATGTGATCCATCATACAGTGAAGCCTGGCCAGGCCTCTACAGATATTAATTGTCACACTCAGCACCCCATAACAAATGGTAACTTGTGAACATGCTTTTTTTAATCGGAACAAATCCGCGCAATTTCAAGGAAAGAGGAGAATTTCCTTTAGTATAGTTTTTGGTGATAATGCATAAAATGTGTCTCAGTGAATATTTTTGTGTTATTATGCATATTGGATTGCTTCAACGTATACGTTGATGATCAGGTTCCAGCAATGCATGATTGGATAAGTTTTGTGCATCAAAGGTGTATTATGATATTTTGTGCCAGTTATTTCCGCAAAAGGAATAGTATAAATGTGCATCCGTCAAGTGGGTGAGTTTTATTTTTCTTATGTGTCTCTCATGCTGTAGATCATTTGAACCCAGGTCCTAACATCAACTATTTAGTGCTTCTTGTATGTACTTAGCACTTCACGTGCATTGCAACTGCATCATTTTATTTTCATATGTATTTATTTATATGTATTGTTACGAATTTGGTATTTAAAAAGCTAATGTTAGTTCAATTATAAATTAAATGGTTTTTTATTTCTCGCGCAGTGCAGCGCGTGACGAATATTAAAAGAAAAGCTAAGCCGGAAAAGGAAAATTGAAAATACAAGAGCGCGTGCATTAAATAAATAAATATCTCTTTTTGATTTCGAGAAAGTACTGGAAAATTCTAGCGCGTGATTTTAAAATCTTATAAAAGGAGGAAAACATCTCAGTTTGTAGTTAGTTGCTTAGTTTGTTGTTGTTTAGAAAACTGCTGTTGTTGATTATAGCGAATTCGCGGATTAGCGTTCTTTAGCTGTTTTGAATTACGTTCTATTGGATATTTGAGTAGTTAAAAGATAACTACTGTGAGATATTGTAATACTGCATGATAATTTGAGAAAATTTAAGCATTTTTGTTCTGATAATAATAAATTTTTGTTCATTTTTCATCCGACTTGTGCATTCATTTCATAACGAACCCGTACGCACGCAACAATTTTTGGTGTCGGAAGTGGGATTTGAATGCCAATAACAAGAGCGATGGAAGAACAATTCAGGCAAATGATGACTACATTTGCTGCTTTCCAAGAAAAGATGGAAGGAAGCCGTCAACTCCATAAAGAAGAAAAGAAATTTAAAGGCGAGATGAAATTGGGCCAAGAATCCGTTAAGGAAGAGATGAAGGCCATTCAAGCTGGTCAATTAACTTTTAAAGACGAAATAAAAAGCCGTACAAGTAAAGATTGAAGAAAGTCAATACGAAATGAAAAGCGAAATTGCCTGCATAATAGAAACCAAATTCGATGCTATGGAAGGTAGAATGATGTGGTTGAAAATAAAGTTGGGAAAATTGAAGAAAAGGTTTCTTCTGTCAAAGATGAAATAGAAGATAGAGTGTCGGCTGTGGAGCGACAAGTCGAAGGAAGAGTTTCGGCCTTCCAACAACAAATTGAAAGAAAGAGAGTTTCTGCCGTCCAAGGACATATTGAACACAAATCGAAGACAGAATTTCTGCTGTCGTCGCCAAAGAAGTTGACACCTTAAAGAAATTCGTAGCGACGGCAGGAGCACTTCGGATGGTTTAAAATTTTACTTTCTACCCATGCCTGCTCGTCCCTCTCTGAAGCTATCAACATATGATGGGAAGACCTCCTGGCAGGTGTATAAGACACAATTTTCTATCGTGGCGGATGATGCGAATGGATGGGATTCCCAAGCTAAGGCCTGTCATCTCGCCGCTTCTCTAAGAGCCGACGCAGCGGATATCCTTCAGACTCTTCCCGAAAATAAAAGGTTAGATTTCGAAGGCTCTGTAAAGCGCCTTGGAGCTGCGCTTTGGGGAGAAATGTTTAAAAGACTACAGCAGGCTTTCATTAAAATCCCGTCAACAGAAAGCCTCACCGAAACACTCCAGGAACTTCGCCACAGGATGTTGAAAGGCTGTCTCATCTCGCCTTTTCGGAGTGCCCGACAGAAACAAAGGGAAATCCTGTCCCTGCAATACTTTCATCGATGGCATCCGGGATCCTTGAAATACAGAAAGCTCTACGAATGGCGGATGTTAAAGATTTGAAAAGCGCTTTAGTGTACGTCATGAAATTCGAAGGCAGCCCAGCAAGCCACTCGTCGAGACCGCCATCCAGTCAGAGCTGCTCAAGTCCAGGAGCCAGGGGGATCAAGTCACTGCTCGTCTAGACGATTTAATAGACAACTGAACGCCTTGAGACAGGAATATTGGTGACAAGAAACCGACCGTTAAAGTGCTGGAACTGCGGTGCTGAAGGACACATCCGACGAAACTGCAGAACACCCCAGGGCACGGATGCTAAGACCGCTCCTAACAAACAGCAGGGAAACTAATTAGTGGCCATCTCGCGGGGCGGAGGTTGCCAGATCATGAAAAGCCCCAGTTTAAAGCGCTTCAGATTTTTGCAGTGAGAGGGCGCGGCAGTAAAGTAATGGACTTTTCATAATAGGACATATTAATGGAGTTAGTTCCCTGCAATATGACGATAGATACAGGAGCCAACGTTACCATCATCCGAAAAGATTTGGCTCAACAACTGGGAAGCAAACTTATCTGGACGCCGCCCTGCTTTACCCTACAGACTGTGTCCGGTGAGAAGATCAACATCGATGGAAAAGTAAATGCTAACATCACGTTTGGAAGTGCCGCTTACCATCACACGGCATATGTAGCAGAGATCACTGATTCTTGCATACTCGGATTGGACTTTCTAAGGAAATACAATTTTTCCCTTAGACTTGAAAAAAAACAACTGCTTTCAGCATCTGATTGCATGACTATCCATCCTCAAAAGGGATCCTCATCTGGAAATGCCGACGCCTTGTCCGAAAGACCCAGCTCAGGAAGCTGCCGAAATCGTGCTAGGGCCAAAAAGAAACGCAAGACTACCAGCTATTCTCCATCTCAGATGCTCTTCGGTCGAGACTTTCGTCTGCCTTGTGACCGCCTGTTTGATCGCCGCACGGATGCTCCTTCATCGCCTGAGGAACACATCCAAGATGTCAAGGCCCGTTTTGAAGTGATGCACCGTTCCGCACGAAAGCGAGTGAACTTGGCGACGGAGAAAGTGAAGACCAGATACGACACGCAAGCTACTAGACATAGATCCAACAAAGGAGACAAGGTGTGGTTGTGGAACCCGATTCAGCGAAAAGGACTGAGTCCTAAATTACAGTCACCTTCGGATGGTCCATATACAGTGCTGAACACGAATGATGTCGTGGTTCGGATCCGTGAGTCTTCGAACTCTTATGACAGGTTAGCTTATTACTATGGCCATAGTACATAATGTAAATAATGTAAATAGTGTAAGACCATGGTCCATTTTTTTTTTTTAAATGTGTATTTGATTGTATTTAGTATTTGATTTGTATTTGATAGCATTAGATTTGTTTAATTTATTGCATTTATTGTTCATGTTGTTTATTATTGTAATGTAATGTTTATGCCTCAGTTGTATTTATGCCTCAGTTGTAAGTTTGACTTCCTGTCCAGGGATTGTACTGCCTGGGACGTGCAGTCCTTGGGAAGGGGGCAGTGTTACGAATTTGGTATTTAAAAAGCTAATGTTAGTTCAATTATAAATTAAAGGTTTTATTTCTCGCGCAGTGCAGCGCGTTGACGGATATTAAAAGAAAGCTAAGCCGGAAAATTGAAAATACAGAGGCGTGCATTAAATAAATAAATATCTCTTTTTTGATTTCGAGAAAGTACTGGAAAATTCTAGCGCATGATTTTAAAATCTTATAAAGGAGGAAAACATCTCAGTTTGTAGTTTAGTTCTTAGTTTGTTGTTGTTTAGAAAACTGCTGTTGTTGATTATAGCGAATTCGCGGATTAGCGTTCTCTAGCTATTTTGAATTACGTTCTATTGGATATTTGAGTAGTTAAAAGATAACTACTGTGAGATATTGTAATACTGCATGATAATTTGAGAAAATTTAAGCATTTTTGTTCTGATAATAATAAATTTTTGTTCATTTTTCATCGGACTTGTGCATTCATTTCATAACGAACCCGTACGCACGCAACAGTGTTATTGAAATGTTGACACAAGTGTGGATGTTTCAGTCGTACCTCTCTCTCTTGCTGAAACAAAATGCCCACCAGAAAATCAAATGTATTTGCAGCTAATGGATCAAAAATCGCAACATTTGGAGAGCTATTACTGTTTTTTAAACTTAGTTTGTGTCGCAAATTACAATGGCCATTAATCATAGCTGCTGTTTCACACCCAATAATTGGTGCTGACTTTCTACAAAAATTTTCTCTATTGGTTGATATTAAAAATCGCTGCTTACTCGACTCAATCACACAATTATCTGCTCGAGGTAGTATCGGAAATGCCACTAATTTCGTAATTAGTTTTTTTTTTTTTAAGATTTTTTTTAGCAAATTTATTGCTGGTAATTCTCCTTTCTACAAACTCCTTGAGCAGTATCTTAATGTCCATCTGCTCGGTAACCAGAAAACCACCTGCTGACCACGGTATTGTGCATTACATAGAGACAATTGGAACACCAATATTTGCCAAAGTAATGCGGTTGCCTCCTGAGAAATTAA